TCCTCCTTGAGGAAGTGGCATTTCCCAGACACCTACAGAAAGCGTCTGTACAAATGTCCTAAGGCCGTAAGTTTTGACTGTCCCCTTCCCTAATAGGATCTTACTGTAGACAAGTGGTTCTTAAGAATCTCAGAGGCTTGTTGAAACCGGTTGATAGGCTCCACTCCAGAGTGGCCCATCCAGTGGATCTGGGGTAGAACACTATAATTTGTATTTCTGACAAGTTGGTAAGGGATGTTTGTGGTGCTTGTTTGGCCATTGGCTGAAACAGACCTGGGTCTTAACACTCTTGGCTTCTACTTGGTTCTTATCTCTTCTTGACTATCATCTCTTCACGTCCTTGACTGCCATTTGCTCCATTCCAACACTGACTTTCTTAAAAGTCTTTGTCCTAAGTTGACAAGAATTTGAGACTTGTTTAGTGAGAAGGGCCGTATCTCTGAAGTCTAGGGGAATAAAGAGTATTCTTAGCCCTAGGCTAAAAACTGAATCTTAGTTGACATGGGTACAGTATTTATTGAATGCCTAACAAGTTCCCAACATTAGTCTCATAATTTTCTCATTCATCTTTTCACAAACTCTTAGAAAGTAGAAGATACAATTAAGACACAGACAGGATAATTAATATGTCACACTCCTATTAAGTGATAGTAGCAGAGGCAGACTTAGAATTCTAGAAATGTGGTTTTTCAGATAGTGGTGTTAATGAAAAGCTGTTTTGGTTTCCAAGCAGAATTGCCTTTTGATGACATGTGGCAAATTGATGTCAGAATTAGTGATGGAAGACAAGGGTTGCACCGCACCACAATACAATTTATTTTGAAAGGTAGCAATAGCTAGCTCAGGGACAGTGCTCAGGCCCTGATTTCAAGCTCCAGGACCAGCACTTTAAAAAGCTAGCAACTGGGCCGGGCGCTGGTGGCTCACGCCTGTAATCAGGAAGCTGAGATCTGAGGATCGCGGTTCAAAGCCAGCCCAGGCAGGAAAGACCGTGAGACTCCTATCTCTAATAAACCACTAGAAAACCGGAAGTGGCGCTGTAGCTCAAGTGGTAGAGGGCTCGCCTTGAGCTGAAGAGCTTAGGGACAGTGCCCAGGCCCAGAGTTCAAGCCCCACGACCGACAAAAAAAAAAAAAGCCAGAAGTGGCACTGTGTCTCAAGTGGTAGAGTGTTAGCCTTCAGCACAAG